GTTAGTGAGTGTAAGCCAAAAATACTTCTACTGAAATTTGATTTTCTCTCTCTTTTAGTATACTGCAAGTAGAGATAGTGGTACTAGAATGCTGGCAGATTGCCAAGGCCCAGTACTAGGCAGCAGAAACTAAAATGGGAGAAGATGAATATATAGCAGTATAGCCTGTTAATATAAAGATTTACTTTTCAGGTAGTAGCTAAATTCTCCAGTAGTGTTATTTTTAAGGAATTTATGTTAACCTTCACCAGCAGCAGAAAATCCTGCTTCTAAAAAAATTACTCTTATCAGTATGGCCTGTTTTATCTTGTCTCTGATTGCTGTAACATTTACATAAAACTGAGGAGGAAACACAAGCATGTACCTGATCATTATGGCTAGTCTAGAAAAACAAATTTAAGTCAAACAAATCTCACACTTGCTCCTTTCATGGGTGACTGTATGCCTGGGTGATTCCTGTGTGTGAAGGTCTGTGTTGTGTTCTGCTCCTTGTACCAAAGAGCAAGCCTGGAAGCTGAACTGACTCCTTTGGTTCCCTTACATGAGCTGTAAGGTAGCCTGTATGTGGTAAATAGTGTTTTTTCCAGAAGGATTTTTAAAGTAGAGGTGAAATGTTTTATTTGCCTGTTGCTGCTTAGAGGGAGAGTCAAGTGGGAAGGGCCAAACTAAATTAAATACATTACAGCTCTCATATTAGTGCCATTTAAGCAGGTCCTTTCATACTTTAGCTTAGTTCTAGTTAGCATTATATATTTTAAAGACATTTTAAAGACATTTAAAGACATTTTACCTTTCTATGGGCTGCCAGATGTGTTACTGGTGCCTTCTGATCTTAGACAGTTTGGCATTGATTTTCCTAGCACACACCAGGGTTGAAATCTGGTCTGTAACTCATCCAGATGATCTATTCATAACAAAAAGTGCCTTCTGGCAGTTGCACTACAGCTGAATATTGTTAAACTGAATTAATCATTTCACTTGTTTCTGATTGCTCTATAATGTTTACATATCTTACATATTAGTGTGATATTTTATAAAGCACACACTGAGGTTAAATCCTCCCAGACAGAAGTTTTTTTCTTCTCACTTTGTGAAGGTGTTGAACTCTTTTTCACTTCAAATGAACAAGAATTTTGGAACTGCTTAATGCTCATCTCATCTGAAATAATGGGCTGGGCAAGTAGGAATGTGTGTGTTGGGGGGACATGAAAAGGTGACATTTTCCTGCACAGAAGGATTCTTCCCCATCCACAAATAGAATAACTGAGGTGGAGTTGTTTATCTGAATATAATAGTTCTGCAAGTGAACATCATCATGGATGAGGGCAGTAATCTCCATGTGAATATGTTCAACTGAAATCTTTCTAGATGCTGCTTATGACTCAAAGTGTCCATAGGTTCAGATTCTTATCTCCTATCTTCAAATACCTGTTGCAGTGGTTGTTCAGAGATCATTCTAATGTCTACAAGAGGATATCCTCTCTGTGTTTCAGTTTCACTATATTTGAAAAAATAAACATGAAAATGCCTCCCAATAGCAGTGTGTCACAGGATGAATTCTAGTTAAATAGAGGGCAGAAAATCAGAGGCTCCCTTCGATTTCATATTTCAACTTTCAGAGAAGGATGACATCTCTTATTTGCTTTAAAAATAAAAACCAATTGCCCGTAGATCTAAAACAGATGCTAGTTTTCTACTAAAAAGATTAAGAGTTTTCTTTAAGCTCATTAAAAGAAAAAAATAAATAATGAAACCACATTGATCCTCCTATATCATCATAAGAATGTCTGAAGGCAATAGGGAACTAGGAAAAGGACATGGTATTAGTGTAACAAAAATAGCTCCAAGTCTGGCAAACTATGCTTATCTTTGGGGTTCTGTGGCAAACTTTGCACTGTTTCTCCAGCCTTACGCTAATGTCTAGTCATGTGTCTTTAGTGGGATTGAGTGGTATGTAAACCCAAATAGAATTAGGACTTTTTATTATGAAAATATGAATGCCAGCTGCTCCGTGGCTTGAAAAACTTCAGCATGGGCCAGATTATTTCAGGGAGGAGAAATGGAAACCATTTGCTCTTTCTGATGCATGTATCTACAGAAGAATGTTCACCCTGTTAATGCTTAAAGCTTGTGTTTTGGAGAGTATGTTATTTCCTAGTTTTCTCACTTTTCGCATGCATCAAAATCCAGAGTCTGCAAAATGTGAATTAAACTCTTTAAGTTGAAGGAGGAAAGAGGAGATCTGATGATGCCATATGTGGTACCAATGAAGCCCAGCATGGGAGCCAGTGTTCTTCATCACAGTTAAAAGTTCCCACAGCAGGAAAAAAAAGATAACCTCGTACCCCACTGCCTATGTTCATCAGTGTGGTGACACAGCTCCCTCGTTTGCTCTACTGATGTGCTGAAAGTTTGCTGGAATGTGTACAAATGGCACCTCAGCAGTAAGATGATAGGAAAGCCTTGGTGTAATCTGAGAAGAAGTACCCTGTCCTGGCAAATTCCTGTGGGTGTCCAAAATACTAGTCCAGAAGTACTGACTCCAGGGAGAGTTTAGTCTTTTAATCAGTCTAAACTTTTTTTAGTTACCAGGCATATAGTACAATTTGGTAAGCTGTGGATTAATGACATAAAAAGTATTTTTTTAAACTTTTGTTTTATTTTGTTTTTTTGTTTAACTACATCATCCTTCTCAATGTTTAGAACTTCCTGTGATTTCAGACAATATTTTGGTGCCTTTAATATCCTGAGGTGATTTGATTTCTTCAGATTACATAGCAGTTGGATTGTAAACTTGATACATCTGATGTAGCTAGATTCCTCCTTGAGAAATCACAGTAGAGTACAGAATACTGCAAAGTTGGCAGCTTGAAAAATATTTTGAGATGGGGTTTCACAAACTCAGGCCCTTTCTGCCCTAAGTGTTCCTTCCCACCTGTAGAAACATGTGGTGTCCACAGCTATGGAATGGGAATGAGACAAGGATGCTTAGGCTCTCGGCATGCTCCCATCACTGGTTCCGAGCAGATACTAACCAGGAATTTTGACCTTTTGCTGTGTTTTCAGTAAGGTCAGTAATGTGGAATTGGCCTAAAAATCAGCTTATTTTAGGATTTGCTTTCCGTTGCACTTCATTCTGTTCTTGAAATTGCAAAGGAAGGCTTGCCCCATAGAAGTGCTGAAAACTCAAAGCTGTATTAATTTGTAGTTTGAAGAGAAAACAAAACAAAACCAAATGTCTTTGCAGTGTTTTTGACGTAGCTTTGTCTGCTTGGAGTCATAAATGCCTGCTTAAATTCAGTGCAGCTATTCTTGCCCCCTTCAATGGGTTTAGGCTGCCAAAATGTTACGCAGACACACAGACACATGTGCACGCACACACATCTTCAGTGAAAGGAACTCAGCACCTCAGAGCTGACAGGGGAGAACTGAGCAAGACTTTTGTATTAGATGCGTTCCTAAGAGAAATCAGAATTGCTTGAAGCTCCAGTGATATATTTTGAGAAACCAGTTTTCATTGTTTTGTTTTCCTACTTAACTTCATGACAACAATCAGCTGTAATGCAAGTTTATGGCTTGAGCAGACTATTGTTTGTGCAGAAACCTCCCTGCTGGTGTATTTACTAAACATGTGTGATGCACAAATGCCAGTAAACTGCTTCTTGGAGCATATTCCCTAGTTGCTAGCAAAAACTGTCTTTAAAGTTTGGCCCGTTTAAATGTAAGGAGAGTATTCATCAAATTTAACAGGAACAGGACTGAATTTTTAATTACTTATCCTCAACACTATTTTGATGTAAAATCTGGGCCTTACTGGAATCAATAGCATGCCTGAAGCATTATTTGGTAGGTATAGATTTTGCTAATGAAGAGCAAGGTCTAAATACAAAAAAGACATTGTCCCATTGACTAGGACCTTTCTTTTTTGCTGTTCCAGCATTGCAAAAATACAGACTTCTTTTGTTAGGGAATTCTTAGGTTTCCTTCTCTTGGAAGCCCTTGCTTTAACGTGGACTAGTGGGAAGTGCAATCATGTACCATGTGATGGTGGAGGACTTCACCCAGTGAAATCATGGCTGAGTATACCTCGAATGTATGTACCTGTTGTTCCTGGAAGAAAGATATGAATCATACTTCCAAGAGAAGCAGGTGGCCTGCCAGGGGATGGATGACCTATTGTCTCCAGCCCCTGCTGCAAGAATTACCTGTGTTCAACCAGTGCAGAATACACAATTAGTCTTGTAGCAAGTACTAGGACCCAGTTCCACTGCTCTAGTGCCCTTTGGGTGCTTTGCCTTACTTGATAGACTAGATAGTGGTCCCTCCTTATGCTTGCTTTCTGGACCAGAAGGGAAGTCTAGAAAGTCTGTCTAGTCTATTGAAAATGGAACAGCTTTATAAGAGGAAGGAAAAGCCCTCCACCCTCCAAAAGTGGTAATTTGCATCTTCTGAAGCAGAGAAGGAAAATGAAGCCGTGTCTCCAACATCCTGAGTGGTCTAACCACTGAAATATTGCATAGGAGCAGGACAGCACAGTAGGTGTGGAGGTTATATTTGTACCAAGCAGTAAAATACAGTCCTGCTCAGTTTCTGAAATGTGGTGCTTACATATCTGCTTCGATGAACAGATTCACAAGTGTGAAGAAAGGAGTGGCTTGTGTAAAACCGAGCCTAACCAAGGGGAAGAGTATAATGTTTACAAAGGCAAAAGTTTCCTGTTGACTGACACAAGCAAATCCCTTTTTGCCCAGCCCAGGTTTGCAGCTTCCACCCAAGGCAGGTAACTCTCCTGAGAGTGCTTGTGAGAGCTCTGGAGCTTTGGGTTCCACTGCAAGCCTCAGGAGCTGATGGTAGTTTTGGGGGTACCTCACTGTCCTCTATCAGCAGGGTTCCCTCTCGATTCTTAACTCTGAAAACCAGTTGCTGATTACATTGGCTGTATTTTCTGGTGACAGTCAAGCAGTGTTGTGTCTGACTGTTAATTTCTTTTGCTCTTTCAGGTCAGTGAAACACCCATTTTTGTGCCTGGTGTTTGGGGACCATATTTCTCTGCAATGGTACCTGGATTGTGGTTGAATGAGGGAGGTCAAAGTGCTACAGGAAAACTGGTAAGTGTTTGGAGACCCAAGCAGACTCCAAGATGGGCAGTCTGCTCTAACTGCTGTCATTCAGGAGAGCTTCACCGTCAGTTGAGCCAGAGCTCTGCCCAGCAGCTCCTGGGGATCACAGGAGATATGCTGCTGCTGAAAGCAATACACAGTTTAGTTGATTGTTGTCTCACAAGCTGTTCATTTGCATACTGATAGGAGATTATATGTGGGAGAGTGAACTAAGGGCATATCTTCCTTTGATGGTGATGATTGTTATTATTTTACAGGCAAACAGGCTCTCACTCTTTACTTTAGCAGGAGGCTGAGACAGACATTGAGATTAAGAAAATAACACATATTGTGTTACATAGAACAATTGTACACACTGATGGGCATTAGTGAAAGATGTGTTGTATGGACAGAATAGTAATATATTAACATGATACCCTGCCTAGATAGATGCTGCATATTTTGTCACCTCAGTTATTTTCTTGAATGCAAAGAGTCTAACTATATTAGGTTAATTTAATTTGGCAATAAAATTAAAACCAGACTGGATGATCTAAAAATGAATTTTCTTAATTACAGGAAGGCAGTCTGAACTAAAACACTGATTTTAAATTTAAAGAAAACTTGGATGTGTGAAACAGTACTTGGGCTTGAGTCCAAAAGTGTCAGCAAGGCCTTAGTGGCTGCTTAACCCTGGAAGCTTCTAAAGTTCCTTGTGTGTCTCCCTGCTCAATTTGTAAAAACACTGACTGCCCCAAGGGGAGAGGTGCCCAGCTCCTCTTCAGAAACTCCAGGAGATAGGCCTAGTCCGGGGGTGTCCTCTGTTAGCTCCCAAAACCTGCAGGTGCATTTGGTCTTTGACAAACTGCAGGCATAACTGCTCTCTTGCTCAGACCTCGCACCACCCACGTTTCTAAAAGTCTGGTGATCTGAGTAGTGTCCAGGAAGTAGCAGGTTTGGGCATCAGTGCATTTATGCTTTTTGTATGAAAGAGGCAGGGAAGGAAAAACAGAACCAGTCCTGGATCTCATACACACTCTTAAGTGTTAAGTGCTGTTCCCTCCTGTGCTCTCTTCTTGCCCACATGAATCTGACATTGCTCTCTGCAATGTCACAGCTTTGGTGGGAGAGTCATTCCTCTTCCTCTCCTGTAGCCTCTGCTTCCCATCCTCTCTCCAGCCCATGCTCAGCCTCCCAGCTAAAGCACTCTTGCAGCAGTTGCGAAGTGTATGCTTTAAATTTTTCAGGTCAAGATGGGGCTAGAACCAAAGGAAAATGGCAAATCTGTACATTTCTTTGTAAGAACACTTCTGAGAGGAATGGTCTCTGTGCACTTAATACAAAGCAGGTGAAGAAACTTAACTAAACTCTAGAGAGGATCCAGCAAGTCAATGTTTTCTGTTGGCTTAAGGTAGTTCCACGCTTAAAATGTACCGTGAGTGTGAGGGCATTTCAGAAAGATGATTTTTAAAATCTTTTCCATTCTAGTACTAGAGAATAAGTCGTTCCTGAGTGATTAAAGAAATTGCTCAAAAAAATGTATGGCCTTGTTAGGACCCATGGGGAAAGTCAGCTCTAAGCACTGGTAGGTATATTAGGGAAGCTGTCTTACTAAATTGTTCTTACGTCTTACTTAATCAATGTAATGTGATTTTCTTGAGGTTTTATGTGCAGGAAACACAGAGGGAGCCATAGGAGATAAGAGGCTGTGTGCACACTGGTGTGGAGGATTCATTATCTTTGTAACTTGAAAGCTGTAGAATATTTAAGATCCTGCTTTCTGATACTTTAGGCTGACAATGAAAAAATAGGCATGTTTGGGCATTCTTTTCATTGCTTGATCTATGCCCAAAGGTGAATTCTGTTAATGAAATTTGAACAGCCTGTTGAACTTCTTAAAGGTAAAACTGATACATATCCCTTTAAAAATCTCTTGATTATTTTTTTTTATTGATACAGCTGTGAAAAGCAGTCTGGATTTTGAAAACTGGTTCAAACAGACTGTAAATGGAGAATTAAGAGCTTGGCTTGTTTGAAAAAGCTTGTTTGTGTATTAGATGGGCTTTTACACTGGGTTTTCAAAATTTATAGGAAGATAGTGCACAAGAGAGACAAAAGGATGGCATGTCATCATTACAAACTGTAACATAAAGAAGAGCAGAGAAGGGTTTCTAAATGCAACCCTGTCTTGAAGTAAGGGCATTTAAATATCTTCATAATTTTTGTAAGATTTCTGAGAAAAGTATTTTCAAAGCAGACCAGTATATATGATGCTTATTTGTACATTTATTTTATAATTCATGAGCTGCTTCTATGTTCGAAAGAGATTATTCAATATTGCAAAATCCAGGCCTAAGTTTTGTTTCCAGTGCATGCACGTGCTTGAGTTTTGTCTTGGATTCAAATCTCAGAACAAGCATGTATTGTTTTTTTGCTGTGTTCAGGTATGTATGCTTCATTCTGTGTTTTCCTGCACTGGCTGAGGACTAGATTCATGCTGTTAAAAAACTCCTGTGGTTTGCTGCCAAATAGGTGTCGCAAAATGTACTCAGTGCTCTTGGGTAGCTCTGGTTTTGCCTCCTTAGCATTCACTCTCATGTCTGATGGGATAGTATCAGAAGGCCACAAAAGCTGCTGAATTACTGTTTTAAAAGCCCATGTTATTCTACCTGATACTTTATTTTGTGAATAATGGTAGCTACTGTGAAGTGAAAGGACCAGATGATTTATACATTCAGTATAGACAGAGCCTGTATTGATCTTTTTTTATAGCAATAACTGCTTGCCAGGGTATACATTTTGTTTTCTGCAGTGAACATATGGAGCATCTATCAGGATGACAACACACCTTGAGTTTTATAATAACACTGTGATATAGAAAAATGTGGGGATTTGGGCCAAGAAGATGCTTCTGGTAGAATTCAAATGAGGGTATGAAAGAAGGGGAATGGGAGAGTCTAGAGGACATGCTCTCAAATAGTTTGGACAGGAAGAAAGTCATCCTTTCAGCCTGCTCTCCCGACAGAGGAGCTGCGTGCTTAGCATTTTGTCTGGTTTTGGTGCAGTGTTGGTTGGTTTTTCTGACTGTTTTGAAGCCAAATCTCAAATCCTGCAATGTCAGTGGGAGTTTTGCCATTGGCTTCACTAGGACTAGGACTTAACACCTCATGAGTAATTTAGAAGCTCTCTCATCTTTTCAGAGTTATGACATTGCATTACCCTTTTCAGGACCGAATTTTAAAGCTATAATAGTTTAAAAAATGTTGTTTTCCTCTTTTTCAGATAGATCACGTGGTCCGAGGCCATGTCGCTTTCCCGGAGTTAGAATCAAAAGCTGCAGCCAGGTCACTGTTCTTATTCCTTCATCATACACCTGCCTTACAAACTGATGACACACTGCTGTATCCTTATTCTGAAACAGAGGAATTAACACTTTGATAATGAGTTGGAAGTATTTACAAAGGCTGGCCAGGTGATGGCTGAAAGAGGAAAGCTTTAAAATCTCCTCAGATACCTTTGGCTTAGCTAAGGGATGGTATTAACTTTCTGCTTTTCAACTTCTTTTCTATCCAGCCCAGGGTATTTCTTGATACCATAGCATCAGCTCTGCTCAGCAAACCTTTATTCCTTTGGCTAATGATGTGTCTTCATTTGTAGGTGACACTATTAAGCTCCAAGGATGAGATATAGCTTAATTAGGAATGTATTAATCAGTATTTTCAGAACAGTCATCTAAAGGAAGGTATAGCCACTAGATGAAAAAATCCTGCATGGCAGCACAAATAGAACAGAGAATCCCCAGATGAATTTTCAGACAAAATTTAAGATGAAGTGAGGAGTGAATTGAAGGTAATTCCAGGATTCCTTGAGCAGGAGGTTGTGTGTGATGTGGAATTTTAGCTTGGTCTGCTTTAGAAGTGGATGAAGACAGTCCAGGCACTTCTGGCAGATCTGGACTTTCTCAAGCTCTTTTGGCTCAGATTCCTTTTGAGGTGGTTCATATCACTCCCAGAGATTGTAGCTGAACCCATTGGTGCATTGGATGAAAATTTGGTTCTCTTTTAATTTCTTTTTTATCCTTATATTAAAGAAAAAAACTGCAAACTTGGCTTTTTATCTTCAATTTGTCACTCTAATCTAAAAGCCAAAGGTCAGTCCTGACAGATGTATTAAGCACATGCAGTTATAGTTATTTTCAGTCCTCCCTGGGGTAATAAAGGTACCTGGTTTCTCTGGATGATCCTTCCATGCTTTATGGTGCCCCATGTCCTACTTGTTTGTTAAGAACTTGACCAGGATTCCGAGAAACATATTGGACTTCATTCAATATGGAATAGATTCATGCTTCCTAGAATTCTCTCTGTTGTTCTTTCAAAAAAGGAAATCAGGCAATAAATGCATCTGTGTATGTTTGGAATAAGGATTGATCTAGGGTTTTTTTTTCCAAATTTTGGCTTCCAGGCCATTTTTTCTGGTGCCCCATTTGGAGCACAAGGAGAAAACAAAGTTTAGTTTGTAATATCAGGGTAAGCCTTTTGTCTGTATGTGTGTTGGAAAAATGAGTATACAGTGGCCAACTTGTCTATGCTAGGTCTGATACTGAACTGACTGACCCCAACTCATTTCATAGTGTAAAAAGCTTAGATTGTGAATAGGACCCTAAATACAGAATATCAGGAATAGAACTCCATGTTAGCCCAGTGTATGGTGTCATAACTTTGGATTTGAGTTTCCTGCAATTAATAAAACCGTGGAAGATAGCACTGATTAAAAGGGTTATAATAACTTATTAAGGATGGTTATGCCTTATAAAGGTAACTTGCTCAATGGTAGTTTTATAATGCTTTCCAGATATCACTGTCCTAATGAAATGTTTGGATAGCTATAAATTTAGTAAACAAGTCTCTTATTGCTTCCTAAGTCATATACTTAATAAGAACATAATGTCTTGTTTAGGGGGATTGTTGGTGATGATGATAAATTATTTGCCTGGAAATCTCAGCAGAATATTTCAGAGAATCTGGTTTATTTTCTTTACTGGATTCCATATGTGGCTGAAGGAGTTTGAATCTGTTCAGCCATGGCAAATTGTCATAGAAAGAAAACCAAATGAGAATTCTATACTTGTGTCCTGGTTTGTGCAATTGCACAATATCTTTGCTTCCCATGCTAGGTGCAATACTGTGAAGACTTAAACTGGTTTTCTAGTCACAAAAAGCATGTTGGATCATTAAAAGCATCATCTCAGGTCACAGATCCATGCCTCTTACTTTCTGCTGCCTATCCCCTACTTCTCCCTTCCGAGGCCTGTCTGTCCTTTCTCCCAGGCTCCCAACACTGCTAATAAGTAGGTTCAGCAATGGCAAACTGCCTGCTGAGCAGCTCGTCTCAGAAGCTTCATGAGGCAGACTTCTGCTGATTTGCCTGTACCAGGAGCAAGAGTTTGCAGGCTGCATTTATCACCATTTCAATCATTTGTGGTAACTTGTTAGGGTGCAAGTGGCTTAGACATGAGTTGCCAGAGACCAGCTCCTACTGACCACTTGTGCTGAAGACCAGTGTTTTGTAACCCGCCCAGTCCTACTCCTATGTTCTCTTCTCCCTTCTTTTACTGGAAGTGGAGAGGGCTGAATTACATGAGGATTTTCTGGATAGTTGTAAATTTAGCATCTGGTCTAACTAATTGGCATACTCTGTGAGCAACAAACCTCAGTTTTTTTCATGCAGTGAGTTGCAGAATTGCTGTGGATGTAGCACTTCTGGTATTCAATCACAGAGTCACAGAATGGTTAAGGTTGGAAGGGACCTTAAAGATCATCAGGTTCCAAGCCCCCTGCTATGAGCAGGGACACCTCCCACCAGACCAGGCTGCACAAGCCTCATCCAGCCTGGCCTTAAACGCCTCCAGGGAGGGGCTTCGACAACCTATTCCAGCACCTTACTGCCTTCGTGGTGTAGAATTTCCTCCTGATGTCTAGCCTAATCTCCCCTCTTTCAGTTTAAAACCATTACCCCTTGTGCTATCGCTGCCCTCTGCGGTGAAAAGCCCCTCCCCAGCTTTCCTGTAGCCCCTTCAGGCACTGGAAGGTGCTCTAAGGTCTCCCTGGAGCCTTCTCTTCCCCAGGCTGAACAGCCCCAACTCTGTCAGCCTGTCTTCATACTGGAAAATATTCTGATAGATACGGTGTAGGTCTGACATCTGTCCATCACTGATCTATTAAATCCTATAAGGTAGGCTAGCATAGGAAATAAAAACCAGAAATAATATGACCATTTATGCCTTAAAGTTAAAATGCTTCTGTTTCCTAGAATCAGTTTCTAGTCTTGTGGAGGAAAAAAGCATCTAACTGTTTGACATCAAAGATGATGTGGTCTTTGGTGCTTTGTGATGTGCTATGTTTTAGGACAGAATTTCCCTTTCTTCACTTCTCAGTGCCGTTACCCCATCTAAAGAGGGCTCCTGAAAAAAAGTGGTGTAGTGACCGTCACCTTATCTATCAGCAATTTGGGGATCCTCCAAGCAGAACATAATAGGAGTATGTGACAGTTCTCTGTTCCTTTAGATCCTTTAGAGCCCTGCTTGGATATTCCAGGCTTCCTGAACAGATGAAATACCAACTTCTTGTTGCTTTCTGAAGTTATGTCCTTAATACAAGCATAATCCTGGGCAACTTGCATTCATTTCTTATTCTCCACTTGCAAAATCGTTCCTCTTTAATAGCAAAAGCTTGTGCCCAACTCTGCAAGTCAGATACAGCTGGACACAAAAGGACTGGGCAGAAAAAGCTCCAGAGGGCTGATGGCATAATACTGTGTGTAATGGAAACATGGTAAAAACTGGGACTGATTAGTGTGTGAAGGATTTTGCCACTCACTCCCCATGTAGTGCCTTGAACCTGTATCTGTATGTTAAAAAAAAAAAGGGGGGGGAGGGAGTCCCTCCAAAATTCCAAGGTTATGTGGGTCTTAAGAATATTTGGCTGAACTTCAGCCTCTTTTGTACAGCCCTTGTGTTCTGTCAGAGCTGCACCAGTGGCTAATCCTTGAGAGAGTAATCAACCAGGATGGAGACCAGATAGAAGCTGGGATGTCTGGTAGGTCTGTGGTTGAGTGCAGCTTTCCTTTCTTTTCCTTCCCAGCAGTCAAGCCATGATGTAGACTGGAAATAAAATGACTTTGTCCTTTGCATGTACTGCTTATTGTGCAGTCCTTAGGGATGTAGGAAACAGGGCCACTTTTACAACAAGGAGGAAAAAAATGATTGTGACCTTCAAAATTATCATAATTCAGGTCCAGGAAGACACATAAAGTACATTTTAAAGTATGTGAATAATGATGTGAATTAGTTATTTTAATGTCTTCCAAGTGTAGTTCATTTTGAATGATACATTCTGATAGCATGCACATGGTAAGGTATAATTGAAAAAACATGCAGCTGTATGGTTGAATGCAAAGTATAAATATACAGCTGCTAGCAGGTCAGAAGTCAAACTAGTAAAGCATATGCCAAATTCCCTTAGGGATCTCATTAGTTCATGATTGAATATACATGTAGAGGCTAAATGATTATCACTGTTTGGGCCTACAGTGGATGAGACAATGACTAATCAATTGTAATTAGGGTTAGATGCTATTCTTGACCCACATGTCTAGAATTAAATGCCCCGCTTGGAGATTTCCGAGGAGTTGAAAAATATATATGAATCTGTTGATGATAGGATGAGTGTTTGAAAAAATATTCTGAGGATAATTGCAACATTTTTTAAAAGGAATGTCACTAGAGTCATTGCAAGCCAAAGCACTGAAGAATTCACCATTAGGCCTAACATTACTCTTGGTCCAGGAAAAAGTCTGTTGGATATTGTGGAGTTGGGTGTAGTATCTGAACTTAGATACAGTGATATTTAGGCCCACGTTCAGCTCCTCCCTAAAACAGCAGCCACTTGCTTTCTTTTCTCCACCCTTACTGCTGCATTTTCTTCATAACACACTGAAATAATTATGGTTTAAAAAAGGAAAGCTGTAAGTTCATTGCTGTTGATTAATCAGAGATTTATAAACATTTGTAAAGAAATTTGATTTTCCTTTCTGTCTGGAATCCTCCTTGTTGCTCTCACTCAGCTTTCTTTTCTCTCGCTTTCCCTTCCACAGCATCAGCACCTTTCTGTTAGAAACAAATATCATCACCCCCCAAAATTTCAAACAGCTCTGGCTGGTCTAGGGACTGGTAGGAGTCAATGTACAAACTCAAGATCACAAACTGCTGTTATATCCCCTCGTCCTGTGAAATAGAGGGATTCAGGTGGCTGCTGGCAGGGAGGTGCAGGCAGATGTTCCCCCTGCTCATGCCCAGCTGTGCCATGGCCTCACTTGTTTTTTGCCTTTCTCCCCCTTTGTTTGAAATTTGGGATCTGGCATTCTTTGGTGGGGTTTCTGCATTTGATAGTAGTGCAAATGTTTTATGTTTGATGAATAACCTCCCCCACTCTTTTTCCAACTTGTTTTTTCTTCTAGTGCTCACAATATATATACATGCTTGAACAGTCACCTGGATCTGATTAAGAAATCTTTGCCTGTGGGTTTCCTCACTGTTGATTTACATGTTTGGCCAGATTTCCATGGTAACAGATCTCCCTTAACAGATCTGACACTAAAGGGCATGGTAAGAAACAGCCTGTCTTTGCAAAAAGGTCAATACAGGGTAAAAAAGAAAAAAAGGGAAAAAAAGGAAAAACAGTTTGGATGGAGCTTTTTTCAATTTTGAGTGTACTCCTCCTTAGCTATGTAAACTATCCCATAGGATTTGGGTTTCTTGTTTCATGTCAAAGTATGCTAATGTTTCAGTAGAAAACCAGAGATTGTTGTAGTTGAGCTATCCCTACAGCCACTTTTCTAAAAATCTGAGGAGTGTTGTATGTGTCCCAGTATCTTGCCTAGGAATCCCACATCAGAGCAGCACTTGCTGTTGTTAGCTCACCTGTCTGCTGAATTTTGTATCTGTTGCAATGAATTTCAGCACAAATTTGGGTATGCCTCTCTGAGAAAGGAATGAAATATTATGAGGAGAGATTGCTTGATTAAACATACGGAGTAAATGTGCTGTATTAGAGTTGTTGGGTAGTAAATTTCAACAGAAACTGAAAAACTCCTCTGCTTATTGTTAAAAATGCTCCCATGACTGGAAATACAACCACGGTGCTTCATACATCTTTGTTGAAAGGTAAACCTGATCTGATTCTGGGTTGTGGTTTTAAGATTGCTACTTTTGGAACTTCTGTACAAAGAAATTTTCAGTGCGTTGCAATATGGGAGCAGAAAGAGCAGCTTTTGGAAAGTCACCAGAGGACTCTGCTAGGGAGATTTTCAACCTATTTTTAAAAGTTTGGGTGTTTCTCTTCACTGAACTTGATGGTGGTAGATCAGCTGGGTCTGACAAGCCAGGATGTTACTGTGCAGAATTTTAACAAGATTATCTTAAGGGTAACATTTGATGATATCAAGATGCCTGGTGATTAATGCAAAAATTTCCTTCAAAATGGCATATGGTCCTTGAAGGGAACATCTCAAGGTACCAGCACCAAAATTTGCTGTATTTGAGGCTGAAGTAGCACAGGGTTGCTGTAAGCACTGCAACACATTTTAAACCACAAATGAGAAAAACATAAAAAAAAATAAATGGCTTATATATTTTTGGGTCCTACTGATACCTGTATTATTTTATGAAAGAATTAGATGCTGAAAGAATCAGAATTTCCTTGGTATGATGGCTGTTTGCAGGTATTGGTAATAGCAACAGATTTTTTGATTTGCTGATATTAATCCAGAGTAACTACAGTGCAGTATTGATTTATGTTAGAGTAAAGGAGGTTAAGATATAGTCTTTAATTATTAATTGTGTCTAAGTGTTAGGGTGCTTGGAAGGGAGGGGGAGAAATGCTTTTAAAAAGTTATTTTTATGTAATAGCATTTTCATATTATTACATTAAATACATTCACGAGCAGTATCTGAGTCATAACATAAAACTGTCAGAGTTGATCTATCTCTAATCCCATACAACATGCTGTTCCTTCTTTATTTCTTTGCAAGGGCAAGAACAATTTATGTGGTTCTTCCCCAGATCAGGAATAACATGTTTAACATAACATTATGTGTACACCTCACAAAAGCAGGGCTCAGAATTAGCACTTAAAACTTGTTACAACAAGAAACCATAGAAAATAATAGCACTTGACTTTGGCTGGATTTGTACCTTTTCTTTTTGATCTTTGCACAGGTTGTTGGACTGACATTGTCTCGGGGTCTGGATGAACTTGCCCTTATCTACTTGGCCACAATTCAAGCCATTGCTGTAAGCCATTTATAGTGCATAAATGAATAAATGAATTGTCTTGTGTTCTGTGGCAGACTGATCATGCCCTCCTGCTAAACAGATTTCTAATAATAGATGAAAATCACTTAATGGGCTTCTTAAAGGAGCAAGATATTGTTTACCTACACTGGTGACTATTCGTGACTGTAGGATAATCAGCAGGCTGTGGAGAAAATGTTTCCCTAAAATGTTTTCTTTGATGGCAATTTTTTAAATGGAGCTTTTGCCTCTAGTGCAGATATGAGCAAAGAGGCTGCAACTATGTGGGGCAGTGTTCATTCACATCATGGGCTGTCTAAAGGGAAGCTGAGAGAGTGGAAAAAAAACACACTTTGGCAATTGTATGAAGAAACTTGCACTCCCCTAAAATACCTCCGCCTCAGATTGTTCCTAAATCCATGGATTTTCTCTGCTTGCCTGTTAGATGAGTCAGAACCCTGTACCACAGCGAGTCAGAGCGGGGCTGTGATTCAGTCCCTAGTGCTATGGACCCAACAGACCAGCCCAGTTTCTCCCTTGGTTTCTCTGCTGCAAGGGAAGCAGATGCCTCCGGTGCAGCTTTTCCAGCCCAAGGCTGTGTCTGTAGAGAAGACAGGGAAGCCATCTCTATGGAAATGCCCTCCATGTTTGCTAACATGCAGAGATGGGTAGTTTTACAGGAATACTTTCCTTTCTGCCCTCATTTTCTCTGCAACTCAGGATTTCCAGTTCACAAGAAGTTCTATTTTGAAGTGAAAACCTGGGTTAAAGAAGTTGTTTTGAAACCCTGGTGCAGGGTATAGTCAATGGGGCGTGCTATCCCTGGGCATTTGGTGACCCAAATCAGCATTCCTTTGACAACTTTGTTGTGATCTATATTAAAAAAAAAAAAAGTTTCTTAAACTTGAGGTGTTTTTGCAAAACATTAACATTTTGATGAATTGTGGAGTTTTCCTGACAAAACTTTGTTCAGCTGGAAAACTTCCAAGCTCCTCTCCTGGTTAAACAACAACTTTGCTAGGCTGGGTCAGCCATCTGGGATAGAGGGTGGGTGGCTGCTGTAGATTTACTGCAAATTGTACATCTTATGTGTTAACCCTCCCTCTTCAGCAAATAACAAGAACTTAACCCCAGCCTGGAATTCATTGTTGGGAGTTTTGATCCTTTCTAAGATGAATGTAGCTCAGTTATACCTGATGCTTCAGTATAATCCCACCATTTAAATAAGAATGTCTAGGAGAGTTTAGACAATGCCAGGCACTGATACTGCCCCCTGAAAGAAACTTTCCAGTATGGAACAGGTGCTCCATTATTATGTCGTGTTAACGAAGTGGAAATGTTCTCTGCTGGAAATCCTGGGAAAGTCACCTATTATCTCATTATATGACACAACTCAAATTTTATTGTAAGATCCAAACACTGTGCTGACCACTGAATTCAGCATCTGTGTATCCTTTTGATAGCTAATTGCACTGATTGTGCCATTCAATATAAAAAGGCCATATGTAGTTTTTATTGAAAGTTAATGGAAATTCATTTTTCTTAAAACACTATTGAAACAGTAACTAAAAAGTAGACAGAGTAGACTTGGTTTTGACTTGATATATTTACTCCTAGTGTGATACCCAGGACATTTAATTTTCCTCCCATGTTCTGTCATGCCCAATTTTAGCTTCACTTTTGTTGAAGGAAACAGTTCTTGTTCAGGACAGCCTCAATCCTGTATCATTCACTGTCTTCAGTGGGTGCAAGATAGACTTTAAACCCAAGTAAAAATCTTGTAAAAACTGTGGGACTGCCCACAGAATGTTAATCTCTAGTTTTCTTTTGAGCAGGAGACGCTTTTTTTCTTTTTAGATAAAATTTGCATTTGAAGCCCCTCAATTTGCATTTTCACCAATCCAGGATTAAATTAGCCCCCCCCCCAAGTGAAGTCTGGCTTTAATTTAAATTGCTATGTGAATACAGTTTTCCAGGCAGGTAAACACAAAATAATTTTCACAGCATGTTCTTTCTGAGGGTCTTTGACATGTGTATGTTGTCAGAGAAGTTGTTAATAAATTTGAACTTCAGGAGCAGTGCAAGAGAATATCCTTTAAGCTATTCATTGCAAAATGCAACGCAACAGTTCAACTGATGAGAACATGGTCAGAGATATAATTGTGGCCGTCAAGCCCATTCTGAGGAGACAGACTCTTTTTGGAGCAGTTTATTTTTCCATAATTAAAACTGTGGCTGTGTAATTTGGAAATTGTCCCTCTGTGTCAGGAGCAGTGCAAGAGAATATCCTTTAAGCTATTCATTGCAAAATGCAACGCAACAGTTCAACTGATGAGAACACGGTCAGAGATATAATTGTGGCCGTCAAGCCCATTCATTCTGAGGAGACAGACTCTTTTTGGAGCAGTTTATTTTTCCATAATTAAAACTGTGGCTGTGTAATTTGGAAATTGTCCCTCTGTGTCAATAGGGAAGCGATGGATTTAAGCAGCTGCTGTTGCGGCTGCGAAAGTTCCTCATAACCGCTTGCCTGACAACCCAAAATATACTTGAAGGTCTATCCAGAATGGTGCCAGTCATTCATGGTGAATGTCTCCAGTCTGATGAAACTCTGCTAGCTTCAATTTTCAGCAGTTTTCACTTGAAGAGGCGTTTATTGCAGGCTGCAGACATCTTAGTGAACTTGAGCAGACCAGGGAGAAAACTTCAATGAGGGTTTGCGGAAACTTTCACCAGGTTGTGTTTTCTGAGGAATCTACCTACAAAGAGGGCAATATTTTGGCTTGAATTTGGCATTTTGTCAAGTCAGAGCTTCAAAATTAACTTCCAGGGTATTTTAAAGAGCTGGGAATGATTTCTAGACAAATGGTTTGTCAAAGAAATGGGTAATGTTCTTGTGAGAGGAAGGAGGGAGAAGGTTGACTTCAGCGAGTAGTTGGAGGCAAGCAAAGCAAAGCAAACAGAAAGAGAACAGATTTTGGTTTTTGGATGGCAAAGCCTTTGCTTTCATCATTCGTGAAGCAGAACACTCAGCTGTTCTAATTTGAGTTTCTCAGAACAGAGAGTATAACTGAAAAGTTTTAAAATATGCCTACATTTTAGATGTTTCAGTTAATCCAGACATAAAATGGAACGTTTTATTTTGCATAGGGCAAAGGCCAAGAGAAATAGTTAAGCCAATACAAAATTCTTCAGGTTTTCCTTTTTGCTGAAAAGACAGAAAACACATGGTTTTATTTGCTGCTTTTTATTTTCTTCTGTTTTGGTGGGGATGTCTTTGCCATGTAGGTTCTAGTACTGGATTTGGAAATGCTTTCCATACTCTTCTGTGCTTGTTGGCAAACACCTGCTTATCACTGCAGTCAGTTTTTTCTGGTGCCTGTTTCTGTCTCTTCTCATAATCCTTGTCTTCACCCTTGATGGTACTTCCCCTACGCCCCATTTCCCTGTGTTACTCTATACTGGTGTGTCTTTACTTTTTTAGCCAGTCCCAGGATGGTTAGTGCATTGTGCTGTATATTTGATGTTTCTAATTCTTAATTAAGATCTCTGCTCCTGGCTGGAAACTAATAGAGACCCTGCAGGTCTGTTCCCTGCCCTCAGGTTATTGGTGGGGACAGTGAGTAGTATAATTCTTTTTAGCAAACTGTGCTATTAAGATCTGTTCCTGGGGCTGTTTTCCTCTGCTCATCTGTTGCTTTTTTGTTTTTGCCCCCTTTTTGAAGTTAGGAACAAGACATATTTTGGAAACTATGCAGGCTGCAGGGCATGATATCAACACGCTGTTTCTGTGCGGTGGGCTGAGCAAGAACCCTCTCTTTGTGCAGATGCATGCTGACATTACTGGTAAGTTAGAGGAAGTCTGGGGAAAGAAGTGTAAACTACTTTATTTTAGGTGGTTAAATACTTTGTCTTTGGAAAAATAAATACTTTCTTTATATAGAACTGTATTTTGCTGGTTGGCCAAAAAGTGTGTAATGAAATGTTACTTCCTGCAAGACTGGATTTCCTGAAATTTAAAGACTTTTGAATTAACAGAGAGATGTGGTGCAAACAAAGCTCCATACTTCATATTGTTAGAAAACAGACTTCAGGAGAAACCTCCAGCATGATCTCCAGTCTGTAGATCTTAGACTTACAGGTCTTTAAAGAAAACGTGATAGGATAAATACTAAAACTTCGTATGGAATTTTAAAAACCAATGTGTATAAATTACATGTCAGAGATGTTTCTCACTGTCAGATTTTAAAAAAATATTCAAACTGTTCTGTAGAAATTATTCCATTAAGTCAGATTGCAATAAGTTAATTACATGAGAATAATGACCTGTACACTTGTGAGCATGGTTTGCATCAGGTGTCTTTTACTAAAACCTCTGTTATCTTCATCCTGTTTGAATTCTCTTGGACTTCTGGCCCTTCTTGCTTATGCTGGACATTCTATCCATTATAACGAACAATTCTTTTCTGAATTACTTCCATGTCTGTATCATTAATGCAGTTTTGGGGACAACTGCTGGATCCTGGCTCCTGCATGGTGTCCCATTTGATTTTGTAGAATTTAAGTGGGTGGAAGGTCCTGGGTATGTGGTTCATTACAAAAGGACTAGGCTTACATGGTGTCTTTTGTCTCCCTTTAACATGTGTGTGTTGTACATCTTGGCACACCTGTGAGTCAGTTCAAAATACTTAAAAAATGTAGAAAATATAACAAAATTAAAGGGCTTCAGGGAAATTTTGGATGATGTGTGTTTTGGGTATATTTCAAATTAAGAGCAGTTGAGCTGACATAAATAAATTTTAAGGCTCAGTTTTGGGGCAGTTGGTCTGGAGATCTTGCCCTAACATCAAACCCCACTTCATAACCTCGATGGAGGAGGAGAGATGAAAATACATTTTATATACTTACCTGAGATGGAAACAGAAATGGAAAAGCAAAAAAATAGTGCTTATTTACCTTAAAATTCACTAAATACATTCTAGTCAGTGTAGTGCTTTCTGTTTATGAAAAATGATGTTGTCAAGTGTGTGCCTTTCCTTGTAGAACCGGGATGTTTTAGGTGAATTTCAGCTATGTGTGGAGCTGGGGGGCTGGGTCACGATATGCACAATAAAAGATCTGTGAAAAGGTATTCTGATTAAAATGTAATCAGAAGTTCTTTGACTGTAACTAATGGCCAAGTACAATTCAGTACAAAAAGGCCTTTTTGCAGTCTGGAGTTCTCCCCCATTTGTAAAATCAGTGACTGACAAGGGATGTCAGAGTTCATCGAACTGAAATGCTCTCGGTTGTATTGAACTCATTAGAGCCTATCAGATAAAATAACTAACATTCCAGGATCAATCCCCCATTCTTTCCTGAAAAGAAAAAAATCTGAATATATTATTGTTAGCTGCAAATGCCCATGACTCAGCCACGCAGACATCTAATGGATAATTTTGCAGGCCACTTAAAAAGTATCTTGATCTTTTTTGTTTGCCTGGTAAGAATTCTGTATTCACTTGGATGATGCAGGAAATGTGCAGTAAATTTTAGAGCAGCTGAAAAATGCTGGCAAAGAGCTGTGTAGATGTAAACTTGAGGTTTAGATTTTCTGTCCCAAGTTGACCCAAGTTCTGAGTCTATCTGAACCAGAGGAATGCTCAGGTGACTAAGCCTACACTGATGGTTTTAAGGCAGATTTGTTTGGAAATTAAGGAAATTGTTATCAGTTATTGCTTCTTATATTAATAATTTTATTTCCATTGGTGAAAAGTTTGTATTTGTCTTTTCCTCTGTAGTTGTTCATGGCTCACTTTAGATCTTCTTCCAAATGTCAGCTCCTTCTGATCTTACAGCTGGCTCTCAGGAGCAGCATTTTTTGAGGCATAACATCACCGAGACTATGCACAGAAGGAAGCCCTCCTCCCTCCTCTGTGTTTGCATCATCATCCACTGAATGAAATTATCTCACTAATGGAAATTTAGACACATGCCAAATACTGTTGGAATATTAAAATTTTTGGCTTAGTGAGGATAAGCATCCAAAGTGCAGCTAGAAAAGTATTTGGACTTAGGCTAGTGGGTTTTTTTATATTTTTAAGGTGAATTAAGAACATACGGCAATTTTTATTTATCAGTATTTTTCCGTCTTTTATTACATGAGTAATAAAGGTCTTAGAAAACTTGGTGTGAAACAAGGGAAATATATTTTCATGATAGTATCCGTGGGTGATGAAACAATAATTTTTAATTCTATTTCAGAATGTATATTGAATTTGTTTGTTAGTTTTTCCAGTGTTTTAATCTTGGTTTTTAATATCTTGCACAATTTGAAAGACAAGATTTTTCTTACTATTTCATACATAGCTTGTGAAAGTTACTAGTCATATTTTCATGTCTTCCAGCAAAAACAGACTGACTTTGTTGGCTATATATTTAAAAACAAACACAAACAATTTTATTTATTTATATTTTTTTTCTTGTTGCAAAAGAAACAAAAAGGAAACCACCCTTTTTTCCCCTTGAGGTCAACTTTTAACAGGCATGTAGGTTTAGAGGGTGTGGGTAAGAACAGGTTTATACCAAGCCCTTTGAGAGAAATAGCCAGTGTCAGAGCTTTGGGGGCTTGTGCTTTGTGTGCTTTATGCCCTGCATTATTATTTTGTTGAAGTTGTTGTATTCAAATTCTGCATTTTTCTTGGAGCCTGGAACCACAGAGCAGAGAGATTTACATAACCTACAGTAGACTGTAGCTCTGAATGGAGTTGTGAACATGGTTTTCAAGTTTTTTTTAAAATTACTTATTTATTTTTAATTTTGTCGTTAATTATTTATTTCTTTATTTCTAGGCAAGCCTGTTGTCCTGTCCAAAGAAGTGGAGTCTGTTTTGGTGGGTGCTGCTATTCTTGGAGCTTGTGCTTCTGGGGATTTTGCCTCTATACAGGTATGCAGTACCTGATTTTTACTTTTTTTTTTCAGTTTTAATGTGTTTTACACTTTAACATTTGACACTTGCACAGACTTTATCTCAAGTGCAAAAATTTGTACCTTCTGCACAAGCAGACCAGAGCCAGCATCGCTTTCTCTCCACCCTCTCTTTAACTCCATAATGTTTTTGAGGTGTGTTGAAGATTCATTTGGCTTTTGACTGTAGGGCCATGCAGATAGAAGCTGCTCCCTATGAAGTTAGGTCATGTAATTTTGCAGACAAAAAAAAAGGCAATTTGGTGAGGCTCTGATCATGCAAGAGAGCACACTTTCATCTCAGCTGTATTTGTTCTATTTGCCTTCATACTGAGGAATGTTAAACATACGAAACAATACAGCACTATTTATGCAGTAAAAAATTACACACCTTTACCTCTTGTCTTGCCCACAGTGAACACAGAATTATGAGTGGAACTTCATGTTTATTCATGTTAATTCAGTCCATTTACAGCTGTAAAAGTAGAAGTAAGGCTTTTATGTTCAGTGGATCAGCCAAAGCCTGACTTAGCTGCATTTATAGGAACAACAGCAGTGAACAGAAACCCAAAGAAGTCTCTGAATGCCCCAAATCGTATCTGTTTTCCCACCTGGGAATTCCCCTAGGGTAAGACATGTCCTCTCCTCCTGCTACACAAGGACACTAAACAGTACACTGCATCCACTTGGACACAGTTGTTTCTCAGGATGGTCCCTGGGTACATTTCTCTTTATAACATCAGGCACAGAGTATTTGTAGATGAAATTTTGCAAAAAAACCAACTTCTCTGAATGTGTTTTCTTAATTGGGAGGTCAGTTTCTCAACCTAGTTAAATTGGTGCAGTTTCACTGGAATCAATAAACAGCTCAATATAAGCTGAGGAACTGGGCCATGTTTGGCATTTTTCCATGTGTGATGTTTCCAAATGTGAATATTCTGCAGTGCAGTGTGAGTTAACAGGAAGATCAGTTTCCTTTCATAAGAATTTTTCCATTAAAATTAACCCCATTGCAACAAGCATAGTACAATACATATATATAAATGTCTGTATTTATTAATTCTAGTCCTTGTAAGAACTTATTTTGATAAATGTAATTTCTGTAGCAACTTTTGGTGACAGGTCTTTATATTTAGTTCTTACTCTTCTGTCAGTGTTCTGCCTTCAAATATATAGATATTTCATTTCAAGTTTAAGATGTTTTCTACTACTGTGCAATAACTAAACATCTCAAAACTGCTTTTAACTCTGTTTTCATAACCACTAGAAAAATATAATGCTGTGAAATTTTCTGTGATGTGCTTTCATATAATTTTGGTGTATTCACTTACCTTTAGCTTATATAAAAAATAGTTCAGAAGCATATTCAATAATGTCAGAACAGATATGTGTATTTTATATATATGTACATATGTTAGTCTGCAGAGCACACTCCTTCAGGAATCTTTTTCAGTGAATCTAGATCCTTTGAACCAACCATGCCACAGACTTTTTAATTGAAACAGTTTTTGGTGTTTAACTGTTAGGATATGTCAGGAGGTACCTGCCTCTTTGGCTGTGGGAATGCTTTTTGGCTTAACTACAGTGCAGGTTCTGTGTGTCTTCCTGCAGTTAACTCCTCCTAAGGGCTTAATGTGGCTGTGGGGAGCTGGACTTCATGAGGCCTTATGCTCCCCATTTCTGCTTGAATCAAGTAAGTTAACACCAGAACATAAAGAAAAGGAATAAATACCAGTTGCAGTCCAGTTGCTCAGCACTGCATAAGGAATCTGGTTTCCCAAACACAGCCTCTGTCTTTTCCAGTGCTCCAGCAGCTGTTTGTGTAAGGTCTGGTTCCAAGGGCTTGGCTTGTCAGCAGGAGAGTTTCCTTGTGTTTCACTAAGTTACAGGTCAAGCCCATGTGCTTCCCTGGGATAGCTCTGAAACAGAAAAGGGGAAAGCAGGTTGGAAACTACTGCTATGATACATCCCACTGGGCACTGGTAGCATGTTTCTTTCCATCATACTGCCTGTGGTGATCAGTGGGAGCCAGGAGAGGCCCTGAATCCTGTCTAAGATGCCACAACAGCCCTGCAATGTGAAGAAACCACCCGACAAGTGTTCTGGCTTAGTGTGCTCAGCAGATTGCCATGAAAGAGGTGCCATCTATGGCAACACTGGTTGTACCAGGCAGTAAATAGGTAGAAATATTTTTAAAATAATTCAGATACATGGGCTTAAGAAACAAGGAACTGAAAAAAATATCTTAGTGGGGGCAGGGAGGCATAAATGCCTGTCTGGCATGGCAGTTCAGTAGCCTTCTCTTATGTTTATTTTTGTGACACATCTTCCAAAACAAACCTTTCTTAGAGGTGCTGCTGCAAACATTCAGCATTGTTGTAATCTTTGCAAATTGTAGAGGTTATTACCTGTCCTCTAATAGATGGTTTGTGCTTAATTACTGTGCTTTGCAAAGCTCTTTGTTTCCTCAGTCTAATAGTAAAGGAGAAAAGTGTGGGGTTTTTACCAATAACCTCTTTCCTTATGTTTGTTTTTTTGAAGGGGAATTTTTACTGTGTTTGTCCCGGGGACTGGTCACAGTTCTCAGAATGATTTTTGGACATTTCCACTCAGTGTCAAAACTCAGAATGCTTAAAAGCTTTTTGGTTTTCATGGGTTGGCTGTTCTCCATTTTCTAAAATGCAGGCATCTTTAGGACAGCTTGGAAAGCTTGGTGCTTTCTGTCAATGTGGGGGTTTGAGCATGGGGCAGGCAAGTCAGGGACACTGCTCCAGCAGGCTCCGCTTCGCTCAGAAAGCCTGGACACAGAAGGATCCTCAAAATCTACCAGGGCAGTTCTTTTCAGTAGAGGCAAAAAAAGATGGGTCATTGTCCTGGTTTTGACAGTCACATGAGGAGGACCTAAAGCTGTGGTAATGTTATATACTGATCAGAGTTGGGCTTTGTTTAGCATAATGGTTAAGAAATGCATTGGAATGGGATGGTATTTCCTTAGGGGTAAGCGCTCTGGTGGATGCTGTCACTCTCACACTCCTGTACTGTTCTGGGGCATGCAATCATTGGGATACCAAAATTGGGAATTATCTGCTTCAGACATACCTTGAAGGATGATTATTCCAAGATCATATAACTTAGCTAGTTATCACTGTTTGATGAACCTAGTCACAAGTGTATGTGAGACACTTCACTTTTTTGGGCAGTTGGTCATGATGGCTGGGACACTGGAGAGCTTTTCCTCTGTCCTTTGCTATCTCTAAATAAGTGTCTTCTCACAACAAAGAGGCAAGCACCAATGAACTTCCTGTCTCTTTTCCCTTACTACACTACAGCAATGACTTTGTGCAGGAGCAGCATTTTATCCTTTATATCTTTTAATTCAAATTTTATTAAAATGTAATGAAATTCAACAAGGGCAAGTGTAGAGTCTTGCATCTGGGAAAGAATAGCCCCATGTACCAGTATGGGTTGGGGACTGACCTGTTGGAGAGCAGTGTAGGGGAAAGAGACCTGCGGATCCTGGTGGACAGGAGGATGACCATGAGCCAGCAATGTGCCCTTGTGGCCAAGAAAGCAAATGGCATCCTAGGGTGTATTAGAAGGGGTGTGGTTAGAAGGTCCAGAGAGGTTCTCCTCCCCCTCTATTCTTCCCTGGTGAGGCCGCATCTGGAATATTGTGTCCAATTCTGAGCCCCTCAGTTCAGGAAGGACAGGGAGCTGCTGGAAAGAGTCCAGCACAGAGCCACAAAGATGATTAAGGGAGTGGAACATCTCCCTTACGAGAAAAGGCTGAGGTCTCTTTAGCTTGGACAAGAAGAGACTGAGGGGTGACCTCATCAATGTTTATAAATACATAAAGGTTGAGTGTCAGGAGGATGGAGCCAGGCTCTTAGAGATGTCCAATGACAGGACAAGGGGCAACGGGTGCAAGATGGAGCTTGGTTTTGAGGGACTTGTGGAGTAAATGTTTTCATGCTTTCTATTGACCACATCTCTACTTGTACAAAAATTCTTAGTACACTGAGCCTTTAAAAGAAGCACTGGAAGTGAAGGTAATTGCAAAATTTGTAACCATACAGGTTAATTTGCTAGATTCTACTGTGGTTTTAAAAACTCAAGCCCCTTGAATTTAATCTTTAGGTAATTCTATCAAGGAAGGATTTATAACATCCATCTCTCATGCCTGGTCACCATATGTTACTGCTTCAAAGAACGCTGACTTCCCTATTTTCCTCTTCATTTACTCTCCCTGCATTTTTCTCCTCTGTGGTAAAAAGGAATTAAAACAATTGGTCTATCCAAAATGAAAGAAGAATGTGCAGTGCTTCCCCGTTTCATCTTTTGGTTGTTTAGTCTCCAGAATCTTTGGAAAGGGCAGAAAATCTTCTGATTTTCTTCTTGCAATTTGGGGTATCTTTTCATTTGCCTCTGCAAATGCTGTAATTTTGTTCTGTTTAGTTTTCTTTTTTCTTTTAGTTTCATTGTGTCTTAATTGTGGTGGCTGTGAGATATAACACAGCCTGGCTGGGTGACAAAAGAGAGTGCTGGGTAAAACAGTATGACATAAGGATTTCTGAAATACACACTGTATTTTGGGGTTCTGGATTTTTGAAATATGTGCTGTGTTGAATGAAATAACCTTACCATTGCTGGCTTAGATGGGTCAATTTATTGGTTCTAGACATTCTTTTCATGCTGAGCAGCAGGATCCTGATTTTCTGTGTGACCATTTCTGTAGTAAAAATAGTTTCCGGTTTAGCAAGCCAGCAATTCCTTCTCAGTAAAAATGTTCAATAAATAAATGTCAAAGTTTCCAGTATATCCTCGTTACTCTGCCTCACTTGTATGTAATTGAAAATGGGAAGAAGGTGCTGTTTGATTTGGCAGCCACCCAGTTCTTTATTTTTTGGATAACCTACTCTTTGGGACAAAGCTGTACACCAGGGAACAGGATTATTGCCTTATAAAATCCTGCAGCCCACT